GGGACCCCAGTGTCTTACAGACAGCATTGATGATATTTTTTCATCCAGATTGTCAAGGATCTCACGCAGCTAAAGATGGTTCATGAACAGCGATGGGGCTCCATGGTGGGGGCCAAGGGTATTACGCAACTATATTAGTTTCCTAGGGCTGCTATAACAAAGCGCCACAAACTGAGTTGTTTAAAACAATAGCAATGTATTCTCTCACAGTTCAAGTGGTTCTAAGTCTGAAATCTAGGTGTCAGCAGGGCCATGCTCTCTCTGAAGGCTCTAGGGGATACTCTGTTTCATGCCTTTCTCTCAGCTTCTGGTGTTGCCAGCAATCCTTGGCTTGTAAACTGGGTGCAGTGACTCATACCTGTAGTCCCAGGGACTGGGGAGGCTGAGGCAGGAGGATCCCTTGAGGCCAGGAGTTTCAGGCTGCAGTGAGCTATCATCATGCCACTGCACTCTAGCCAGGGTGACAGAGCAAGACCCCATATCTAACAAAACAAAACAAAAACCTTTGTTTGTAGATGTATCACTGCAATCTCTGTCCCTATTGTCACATGGTAGTCTCAATGTGTCTGCCTCTGTGTCTCTTTTCCTCTTCTTATACGGACACCCTGTCATATTGGATTAAGGGTGCACTCCTACTCTAGCATGACCTTATCTTAACTAATTGCATCTGCAACAACTTTATTTCCAAATAAGGTTTTAGGAGGACATGAATTGTTTGGGAACACTATTCAACCCAGCGCACAGACTAGATGCTGACTACCTGGATGCAGACCAATGACACACAGCACTGGTTTCAGGGTCGGGGGTTCATTCAGATGATGAAAAATTTGATTTAGCACAAGGTTATCTGCCACAGCCCCCATGAAGCCATGTTTAGCAGCAAAGTCAAGGTCGGCCTGGCGACCCCAAGTTACCCAAGGAAGTGTGCTCACAATCGGGACTGAAGAGGATTTGAGGAGGGCACAAGGACAACTGAAGAGCAGCAGCCATGTGCAACAAGAAGGCAACCTGGGCGTAAATTCAGAGGGGACTGTTGGGATAGAAGGGCAGGTGGCTCTTGAGTGCTGTGCAGATTGTAAGAAGGAAAGTCCAGAATCCTGTTGTGTCAAGTGCAGCAGGAGTCTCTGCAAGAACCATGGCATATTACCCAGTGACAACAGTAGGGATCATGGGTCTACGATAGTGTGTGCCATTGCTACAAAGCCAGCACATGGATGGAAGCCCACGACAGCCTGCTCAGCTTAGTCAGCAAGATGTAAAAGCAATCGGAGACCAGGCTGCTGTTGCTGAGCCTGGAGCCAGCAGGCCTGGGTGGTCCTCTATCACACTCATACCCTCACATGTGCAGGAAGGAGAGGCCAGCTCGTCTTGCCTACCTATGCTGGGGGCAGGAGGGTCCATCAGGTGCTCATGAACACAGAAATGCCACTCAAACAGGTGCAAGTGCGCGTGGACTCTATCTTACTCAATCCCAGTTCCTACAGTTTGGTTACAATAAATGGTTGTCAATGGTCCCCAAGTGTGTTTTGGCCTTGATTAAAATAATAGTATTTTTGCAAATGTTTAAGTGTATTTTTATTTTATTTTATTTATTGACAGAGTCTCACTCTGTTGCCCCGAGTGCCATGGAATCAGCCTAGCTCACAGCAACCTCAAACTCCTGGGCTCAAGCGATCCTCCTGCCTCAGCCCCCAGAGTAGCTGAGACTATTGGTGCATGTCCGGCTGATTTTTTCTATTTTTAGTAGAGATGGGGTCCCACTCTTGTTCAGGCTGGTCTCGAACTCCTGACCTTAAGCGATCTTCCCACTTCGGCCTCCCAGAGTGCTAGGATTACAGATGTGAGCCACTGTGCCCCGCCTAAGTGTATTTATTTTTAAAATTTGAAATAGGAGGCATTTATAAATTTGAAATGACTGAGCACCTGAGATATGGGGGGCACGTAGCCCTCAGTGGGTGCCCATGCTGGGTCAGCGTGTCTGACAAGGAAACGTTTGTGACGGTGGCCAAGCCCCTCTTCGCATTAGTCGAGGTATAGGCTAAGTTGCTGTAACAAAGGGACCCTCAAATACAAGGTCTCACGCAAGCTGGAGGTTTATTTCTCTCTGATGAAGGAGCTCAGAATTTGGCAGGCAGTCAGGGCAGGCAGGTAACTCTGAGCTGCAAAGTTCTCAGGGAGCCAAGTTCCTTCTGTCTGTTGTTGCTCAACCTGTAGACTTCAGCAGGATATTTTTGGCCTGCAAGTACCAGAAAACTCAACTCAAAGTGGCTCACATAGTAATGTGACTTGTTATTTAATCTCAAGTGATTTCTGGAATTGGACCACTTACCACCACCATTCTCTCTCTCTCACACACATAGCCCTCTTTCCTCTTGCATCTAGACTACAGCAATTTAATTGGTTAATTTACTGGCTCAACAATGCTATCAAGGAATAGGTTTCTTCCACTTCCCCCTCGACCATTCCCAGTATGTTCTCTTTGACCAAATCCCCTCACAGTTCCACAATTCCAGGAATCCCACGTAGATGTGACAATGTCTACTAGCAGATGAAGTAATGTTTTTCTGCAATGTCTTTTTTTAAAGTGTGATAAAAACCTTTCCCAAAAGTCTCTGAGCAGACTTCTCACCCTGTCTCCTTGGCCAGATTTTCATCATTTTTCTATGACCTCTAACTGACCTCTAAGGGAAATGGGCCCACCATACCTAGCTCAGACCAGTCATGACTACTGGAGCTGAGACTGGGGCTGAGGCTCGGGCTGGGGCTGGGGCCCGCCTCCTCTAAGAGAAATGCATACATGGACAAGATCAAGGTCTATTAGCTGGGATGAAGAGGAGGAATGGCCGTTGGGTAGGCAACCACTGAGTCTGCCATGTATTGCTACCTTCTACTTTTTGATGGTTTCCTGGTACAGAGCTTCCCAGCTGGAGTCCTGTGGTACAGTGTGCTCTGCAAATGGAGGTAACTGACAGTGATTCCCTCAGCTCTAGGGGCAGCCAAGAGGGGTCTGGATAGCAAGAGTACCCAGGCTGATTGTGCTTTTAGCATAGCAGTCTCTTCTACTGGCCACAGAGTACAGTGCAATTGAAAATATTCTCCTGTGATTTTTAAGAGGCAGAAAAGTTTGGGAGCTCTGGCCTAGTATTCTGTAGTAATGTTCCCCTATTGAAGTTTAGATGATTTCAAATTATTTGTTCCATCTCAATTATATTATTATTATTTTGAGACAGAGTCTTGCTTTGTCGCCCAGGCTGGAGTGCAGTGGCAAGATCATAGCTCACTGCAACCACAAACTCCTGGGCTCAAGTGATCCTCCTACCTCAGACTCCTGAGTAGCGGGGACTACAGGTGTGCACCACCATACCTAGTTAATTTTCTAGTTTTTGTAGAGACAGGGTCTTGCTCTTGCTCAGGCTGGTCTTGAACTCCTGGCCTCAAGCCATCCTCCAGCCTCGGCCTCCCAAAGTGCTAGGACTACAATTATCTTTTAAACTGGAATGCACTTTTAAATCTATGTTCTATCTAGAAAATCTGGTTTGTAGGAGGAGAACTGGAGTAGGGCAAGAGTAGGAGCTGTAGTCTAGGTGCAAAGAGGGGCGTGTGTGTGTGTGTGTGTGAGTGAGAGAGAGAGACAGAATGGCAGCGGTAAGTGGTCCAATTCCACATACACTTTTAAGGTAATGCAGATAGGATCTAGTGATGAATTTGGATGTGTGATGAGAGATGAGTCAAAGGTGACTCCAAGAAGAGAGCTGACATTTTGAGTTGGGGAAAAACTGAACATTAGAGTTATTAGGTCCCTAGGTAGAGACGTTGAATAGGCAGTCGCATGTATGTGGCTGGAATTCAGGGGCAAGGTCTGGGCTGGAGATGTGAGTCTGGGAGGCATCTGGGTACAGATGGCAGCCAAAGCCATGAGACTGAAAGGAAGCGTGAATGGAGTGAGAGCAGGTATAGAAAAAGAGGGCTGGGACTGAACCCTGGGACACTCCAATAATAAAGGGAGAAAAAGAAGAACCAGAGAAGGAGGTAGGAAGTAACTCAGGAGAGCAGTTTCCTGGACACCAAATTAAGAAAGTGTTTCAAGGGAGGGAGTGATCCCCTGTGTCAAATGCAGATAGGCCGAATAAAGGGAGGACTGAGAAGTGTCCATGGGGTTTGGCAAAGTGGAAGTCACTAGTGACGCTGAGAAGGGCAGTTTCAGTGGAAGGGGGGAGATGGAAAGCTTGATTGAAGGGGGCAGGCAGGGAAAGGGAAACAGAGAGCAGGCAAACCTCTCTAGGAATTTTGCTGTAAAGTGAAGCAGAAATGGGTGGAGGGGAAGTGGTCATTCTTTTTTTAACGTAACAGAAGAAATTAAAATATGTTGGTATACCAACGATACAAAGGAGAGGGAAAAAATGATGATATAGGAGAAAACGGGGAGAATTGCTGGGCCAATATCTTTGAGTAAATGAAAGGGGACAGGATTCGATGTAGCAGTGTAGGAATTGGTCTTAGTAGGCAGTTTATACATAGATAAAGGAGGTGAGTAAACGAAGTGCTGTAAACTTGTGAGCTTACTGATCCCTACGATTTTGTTAGTGAAATAGGAAGCAAAGACAGCCCAGAGTGAGGATGGAGAAGAAGTGATGGAGGTTTGATGAGGTGGAGAAATCTGATATAATTATTTAGAATTATGGGCTGGGCAAGCTGAGGGGTATTTGAAACCCAGTTGAGAAGTGGGGAAGAGCTGCATTTTTCCTTGCAAGATTAGTCCCTCTAGGCGCTCGGTAGAAGGCGTCCCGTTTCCCTGGAGACCGAGACCGCGGAGCAAACATCAAGTCTTCTCGGGAAGTTTGAGTGGGCTCGGCTACCGCGCGATCTACGCTGAGACAAGGACATCGGAGAAGCCGACTGGGTATTCTAGAAGATCAGGGATCCACAGACTCATTACTTTCCTTCCATTCTCCCCAATGGCGCGCGTCTCACAGAAGTAGGTAAAAAGGAGCGTCGGCGGAATGGCGGAGTGCGCATGCGTGTCCCCGCGGTCGCCCCGCTCTCGCCATGAGGTCGATCCGCGGTCTTCTGACCCCCGCCCTCTTCCCGCCCACATCACCCTGGCCCCGCCCCGCTCTCCGCGCCCACTCCCGGTTCCCGCGCTGCTCGCGTGCGTGGTACGCTGCGGTTTCGAGTTCGAGGCTCCATGGCTGTTTGAAGTTTGCTGCTCGCAGCCCCATAGGCTGGGAATAATGGAAATTCTTTCTCGCCTCAACTCTTTCTAGACCCAACCACTCTGGAATTCACTCCACAGTCCCCAAGTTCCAGGTTCTGGTGAGTCTGGGAGGGTTAGGGCTGGGGATGAGGCTCTGGTGACCCTGCGGTCAGTGCGCCTGCCCTCTGCTCTCGCGATCACGACTGCTCCAGGTAATATAGCCTGGAGACCTGCATTCCAGTCCCAGCGGTGTTACGCATTTGCTGTGGGACCCGGAGCAAGCCTCTGAACCTCATTTTTCTCCTCTCACTACCTTACCAGAATGTGAGAGTGTATTATGTTGCTCTCTTATTCATCTCTGATTGCTACTCTGGTTTCCTGAGGGTGGGTATTGGGTCTTTTCCATGCCTTCTGTTTCTCACAGTTCTTAACACCTCACAGCTTGGATGTGCTTAGTAAATTCTGGCTGGCTGATTAAAAAAAAAAGTGATAGCTAACATTTATGGAGGACTTACCACATGCTTTACAAATATCATCTCTTGGAATTCTTGCACCAACCCGTGGAGGTAGGTTTTATTATTAGGTCCACTTTATAGATGGGAAAATTGAGGCTCAGAGAGGTAATGTCATTTGCTCGAGGTCACATATGTCTGTAAAGGGTAGATCTGGGATTTGAACCCATTGTGCTGTGTGACTGACTGATTGTGTTATGTCTCGTAGGATTATGTTCCATGGCAGTGGTCCAGGCAGAAAACCAAACCATCTACTTTGCCTCCAGTCCAACAAGCCGGCAGCCACAGTAAAAGCAAAATGAAGACTTTGAATGAGGTCCAACCAGGTGGGCGGAGGCACTGGGGGCTGGTGTGGGCGTTGGGGACAGGATAGAGTGGATGCTCTTGGCCCCGAGTGACAGCATTCACATTAGGGTAGGCTAACTGATGTAACAAACAACCGCCAAATTTCAAGTATTAATATCGAAGTTTATTTCAGAGTGCATTCGTAGACCTGGGGGAAGGTCTACAAATTTGTTCCACATGGTCATTCAGGGATCCAGGCTTCTTTGCCCTGGTGGCTCTGATACTTTGTAAGGCCTTGAAGTCCTCTGCTGGATACTTCTGCATCCGGGTGGTGGAGAGGGAAGAGAGAGAGAGCAAGAACATGGGCAATTTTGTGGGCAGTTTTTTGGGGGGCTCAGACTTGAAGTGATGTATCACTCCCACTCATGTTCCAGGGGCCATAACTCAGTCACGTGACTATCCCTAACCACAAGGGAAGGTGGGAAATGTAGTGCATGTGTGTTTCCAGGAGGAAAAGAAAACAGGGTTTGGTGAATTCATAGGGCAGTTTCTGCCACATCATTATCATGCATTCCAGAGGATTTCTGAAGCCTTGGCTCAGGCAGACGTGGGTTCAAATCTTGGCTGTGCCATTTACTCACTTGGGAAAGTCATTCATCTCTCCAAGCCTTAGTTTTCTCATTTGTGAAAATGGGGGCACTAATACATACCCCACAGGATTGTTGTGAGAATTAAATGGGAAGATCCATGTAAAGCATTGTTTGGCCTTATCAGACCCAACACCCCTTTTAATAACAAATGTTTTGTAATATTCCTTCAGTATCCTGAAATGAGTTTCATAGATAATATAACCTACCTGTGTATATAGCTGTGTACATAATCACTCTCACCACCTCTTTGCCACTAAGTGGGGGATGTAAGATCAGCTTCTCTGTGGGCAACACTGACACCCAAAAAGGGAGTGGGAGAGTAGAATGCCAAGTAGCCCCACATCCCACCACCTTCTTTTGCCTCATTGATGCTGGGTGGCGGTAGAGGCTCAGGTTCCCACCAGGCTCTACCAACATGGGTAGGCAAGGGGAGGGAAGGTCTACCTCCCACCACCTCATTAAATCTCATGGGTGCTGGGTGAGAATGGTGGCGCAGCTCACTGCTGGACCCTGCTGACATTACCCTAGAGGAGTGAATGGTTAAACACACTGGTACAGCCATACCATGGAATACTCTTCAGCAATAAACAGGAAAGAACTATTGATACATTCTACAGTTTGGATGAATCTCCAGAGAATTATGCCCAGTGAAAAATCCAATTCCAAAAGTTACATTTGTATAACGTTCTTTTTATTTTATTTTATTTTATTTTTTTATTTCAGCATATTACGAGAGTACAAATGTTTAGGTTGCATATATTGCCTTTGCCCCACCAGAGTCAGAGCTTCAAGCATGTCCATCCCCCAGACGGTGCCCCATCAATTAGGTGTGAATATACCCATCCCCTCCTCTCCCTCCCACCTGCCCGACACCTGATGAATGTTATTACTATATGTGCACATAAGTGTTGACATTCGTGTAACATTCTGAGAAGGACAAAAGTATAGAAATGGAGAACAGATTAGTGAATGCAGGGGTTAGGGAGAGTTGGGGGAGGATGGTAAGCGGAGGGAAGAGGTGTGGTTATAAAAGGCAACAGGCGGGATCCTTGAGGTTATGGAAATGTCCTGTATCTTGCCCATCTTAATGTCAATATCCTGGTTGTGATATTATATTGGACTTTTTGCAAGATGTTGCCATTGGGAGAAGTTGGGTAAAGGGTACATAGGATTTCTCTTGATTATTTCTTAAAACTGCATGTGAATCTGAACTATCTCAAAATTAAAGATTTAATTAAAAAAAGACCAATCAGGGTTACTACCACTAATGAAAATAAATACTCATTATGGAAGCTACAAATCTTCCTTAAACGTTTAAATTCAACTTACAAATCTTCCAATTTTTATAAACACTTGTAAGAGGTTTTAGAACTTGGTTAATTAAATTCTCCTAAACCTTTTAAGCCACATTTTAAAATTTAATATATTCATTTTCATTTTCAAATTGTTCACTTGTCTGATTAACAAAAACCATCGAGCATTTAAATAACTCTTGTATATCTAATAAATAAACTTCTAAATATGAGTAATCTCATGTTCAATCAGAAGTTCCAGTCATTCATACACATTTAAAGAGTGTCTTAAACCTTTCAACTTTAAACAAATCTAAATCAAAATCTCACTTATACCTTTCAAATTAGAATCACAAGATTAATCTATTAATCATTCTATGTCTTAAACAATACAATTAAATACTGGATGTATAGTTAATTTATAAATTTAACACAAAATTAATTTACTTCATTATCTCCATACTTAATGCTAGAATTTGCAAGGATTAAGGATATTGATCTATTAGAGAAATTATTGTTTTTTTTTTTTTTTTGAGACAGAGTCTCACTGTGTTGCCCGGGCTAGAGTGCCATGGCGTCATCCTAGCTCACAGCAACCTCAAATTCCTGGGCTCAAGCGATCCTCCTGCCTCAGCCTCCTGAGTAGCTGGGACTACAGGCATGCGCCACCATGCCCAGTGAATTTTTTCTATATATTTTTAGTTGTCCAATTAATTTCTTTCTAATTTTAGTAGAGACGGGGTCTCGCTCTTGCTGAGGCTGGTCTTGAACTCCTGACCTTGAGCGATCCACCTGCCTTGGCCTCCCAGAGTGCTAGGATTACAGGCGTGAGCCACCGCGCCCGGCCTAGAGAAATTATTGATATCTTTCCCAAACAAACGGGGTTGCACCTGGAGCAGGGATTTTGGTGGGGTCTGAGATTAGAGCTGCAGCCACCTGGGTGATGTATCTCATGCCAGTGCAGGACAGGTGAGAGGAAACAGGGATTCTGAGAACGTGCCCTCCAAACGCTATACTTCCTGGTCTGGGAGAACCACAGTTCTTAATGCATTTCAGAGACAGCTAATCGGAGTGTTGCATAACTCCTGTGCCTTTGTCCTGTGCTGTGGTCCCAATTCTCAGGTCATTAGAAATAATAGTAACAACTAGTATTGTGTATCCGGCACTGAATGTGTGTCAGGCACTATTCCAAACACTTCTAAGGTATGGTAACTTCTTTTTTTTTTTTTTTTTTGAGACAGAGTCTCACTCAGTTGCCCTGGGTAGAGTGCAGTGGCGTCATAGCTCACTGCAACCTCAAACTGCTGGGCTCAAGCGATCCTCCTGCCTCAGCCTCCCGAGTAGCTGGGACTACAGGCGCATGCCACAATGCCTGGATAATTTTTCTACTTTTAGTAGAGATGGGGTCTCGCTCTTGCTCAGGCTGGTCTTGAACTCCTGACCTCAAGTGATCCTCCTGCCTCAGCCTCCCAAGTAGCTGGGACTACAGGCGCATGCCACAATGCCTGGATAATTTTTCTACTTTTATTAGAAACGGGTTTTGCTCTTGCTCAGGCTGGGTAACTTCTTACTTAATCTTCACAACAATCCTATGAGGTAGGCATGGTGATTATTCCCGTTTTACAGATAGAGGAACAGAGAGGTCATGTGATCTGCCTAAGGCCACACAGCTAGTAGAAGGCAGAGCTCAGATTCAAACCTGGCTGTCTGGCTCATTAATCCCTACCCATCCCTACCCATCTAACCTTCCCATCAGCCAGGCTCATGGGAAAGCAGGGATTTGAACTCAGGCCTGCCAGACTCTGGTCTTCTTGCTGTCCTGTGCTGTGTCAGCTACTGACAAGACACAACAGTGGGAGCTCCCGACTCTCTTTCTGACTGACGGTTGAGAGTGGGGATGACTGGCTGTCTCCCGTTGCTACCCCTGTCCTCTCCCCTGTCCATACTCATAGTAACTGCTTTTACCTGGGCTTGTCCCTCCCTTGTATCAAGGCTCAGAGTGGGTCCCGGGAGCTTATTGACGGGTGTGAGTTTCCTCCTCTGTCCAGTGTCACATGATAAGGCTGTGAGTGGGTTTGGGGCTGGGGCCTGGGCCCCCTCTTATTGGTGGCGCACTCCCTGGGACCTGGCCCCAGTCCTGCCTGTGCCCTCACTCACTCCCTCCCCTTTCCTGTCTGTCCCCAGCATTGCACTCCAAGCCCACCATGCTGGTGGCAAGCCAGCTGAAGAATCCACGAGAACAGCTGCACAGAAGGGAGAAGCTGGACGCTAGGAAGATGCAGGCCAAAATCCGGCTAATGAAGGTATGAGGCACATTTGCCCACAGGCGCTGGGGCCCAGGGCAGGGGCATGGGAGTGGCTATAGGAAACGTGCACTGAGCACGTTGTGGGTGCCAGGCTTGACTCATTTCCTCCTCATAGGAACCCCACGGACATGCTTATAAATATTCCTATTTTAGAGATGGGGAAACTGAGGTACGGGGAGATAAATGACTTACACCAACTTACAAAGCCAGAAATTGGCAGTACCAGGGGTCAAAGCCAGTTAAACAAAACATTTGCTGCTGTGTTCAAGACTCAAGAGCACCGTCAGAATCACCCTTTATTTCTCTGCATTAGGAACACAATCTAGTGGATTATCTTAAAATTTCGAGTAAATTAACCTTTCATGGAATGCAGGATACCTTGAAGCAAGGATTAGAATCTTACTATTAAATTTTTCACATCAACTGATAACAATCATAAATTAATTTTCTCACCATGCATTATTTTATAGCTTATGTAATTACTTGCACAATGTTTCAAAAGTTTTTGAAGTGATGAAAAGAGAAATCTTGGCTGCACATGGTGGCCCATGCCTGTAGTCTTAGCACTTTGGGAGGCCGAGGCAGGAGGATCACTTGAGGCCAGGAGTTTGAGACCAGCCTGGGCAACATAGCAAGACCCCATCTCTACTAAGAATAAAAGAAATTAGCTGGGCTTAGTGGCGTACACCTGTAGTCCCAGCTACTGGGGAAGCCAAGGCAGGAGGATCGCTTGAGCTCAGGAGTTTGCAGCTGCAGTGAGCTATGATTGCACCACTTCACTCCAGCTCAGGCAACAGAGCAAGACCCTGTCTCTACAAAAATAAAAATTAAAAAAAGAAGAGAGGTCTTTAGTATACATAGCAGAAAATAAAATACTAAATACTATAAAATACTATAGAATAATTCTTCAAGAAAGTTTTTAATAGCTTAATGAACAATGACTACTAAAGAAAAAGGGAAAATATAATTTGCTTTGAAATCTTTTTTTTTTCCCTTTAACCTTCAGTTTTGCAAAATGGTTTAGAAGTAGCCTAGCATTCATAAAGGAGGAACTCATATTTTGGATGTTATTTTTATCCTGACTTTAGAAGGGTTTATGTGTTGTTTGATATAGAATATGAACTTGGGCAATTTGGCTTTAAAACTTGTGTTCCTAACCAGTTCTTAATACTATCTCTTATAGTTATGCATTCATTTAGTTGGTCAACAAGTATTTATTGAGCACCTACTATGTGCCAGGCCTCATTCTGAGTGTGGGGCTTCACCAGTGATGTGGCCTCTGACCTTAGGGAGCTCACATTCCACTGGGGGAGATGGACAGTAAACAAGATGAATATATAATATGTGCGGTGACGATAAGAGCTATGAAGACCCCTAAGAATAAGATTAAGGACTAGAGAGGCACAGAGGAGGAAGTGGCAGTGATTTTTAGATAGGGTGCTCAGGGAAGGCTGTTAAGGTGGTGACATTTGAGCTGAGACCTGAAGGAGGTGAGGAAGCAGCCACATGGACATCTGAGGGAGGAATGCTCCAGGCATAGGAACCGCAAGTGCAAAGGCCCTGAGGTTGATGTGGTTGGAGCAAGTGATGATGAGGGAAGGTGATGGGGTAAGGTAAGCTGTGTATGGCCCTGTAGTTCCTGATTAGGCCTTGCATTTTTGTGTTGAGTAATAACGCAGGAAGACTGGAGGGTTTTGAGTAGAGCAGGAGTGTGATCTGACTTAGGTTTTCACAGGAGTCCTTGGGCTACTGCTGCCATGTGGATACTACCTAGCTGGTTTGTTCTTGGGGATGGAATTAGGATCCTGACTCTGTCCCTTAGCCCCAGGACAATTATTTATTCAATCTACAACTCTTTAGAATAGAAAAACACAGATAATAAGAAAAATATCGGTTATGTTGGGTGGTGATAAGTCCCAGGAGTAAAATAAATTGGGAAAGGGGAGACATAATTACAGACTACTTACGTGATTACAAATTGGGGTAAGGATCAGGGAGGAAATGAAGCAGGATTCTATATTAGATCAGGTGGCTAGAGAGATGCATCTCTGGAGCGGAGGTCATTAAATTCTATTTATCAGAATCACCTGGGAATGGGATGTGTGTGGACAGTACAGATTCCTGGTGCCAACCCCAGCGATGCTGGCTCAGTGGGCCTGGGGCTTGGAGATTGGCATTTTTCACAAGATGCTCCTGAGTATTTTGGTCTGGAGAAGTAGAGGCAAGACAGTGGAGTGGCCAGGAGCCCAGACTTCTAGGACAACAGCTGTGCTGTATGACCTTGGATAAGTTACTCAATCTGACCCTCCGTTTCCACTTTTATAAAGTTGGGCTAATAACAGTGCCCATCTCGTAGGGTTGCTGTGAGGGTGACATGCTGCAATGCATGTGATGTGCCTAGCACAGTGGTGGGCACACAGTATGCACTTGGTGCATTTGCATTATCACTGTTATTATGTGAGAAGTGCAGGATCCGAAGGCTAGGAAGGGGTGGTTTCTGGGAAAGGACAGAGAAATGAGGAAGAACAGAGGAATAAAGAAGAAAGCAGACAGGTATGGCAGAGGTGGAGGGTTAGAGCCAGAGAGAGTAGCGTCAGCTATTGTCCATTGAGTGCACACTGAGCACTAAGGCACGGGCACTAAGTGGCTCGATCGTGAATTTTACCTCATTTATTTTTTACGGCAGCCTCGAAAGCAGCTGTTCGTTTCCTCACCTTTAGAATGAATATACCAGGGCTCTGGGAGGTTAATTAACTTGCCCAAGTTCCCTTAGATGATAAGTAGCAGAGCTGGGGTTTTTTGAACCAAGGCGTGTGTCTAGGCCTAACACCCAAGACTTAAATCAGCATGTGGGTCAGCCACGCCTTGCAGTTTTAAGCCCGCTCAGTTCTTGTCTTAGTGTAGCGGAAGGATACACACGGGGACTCAGAAGTCTGGCTTTTCAATTCCAGTGCCACCACTTCTTGGCTGTGTGACATTGGGCAAGTCATTAAACTCTCTGAGCCTCATCGAGCCTCCGCTTATCAGCAGAATGGAGTTACAGCAAACATACGGCTGTTGGAGGATGAACTGATACCACGTGCCACCCGCAAGCGAGGCACAGGCACAGCGCCAGCGCCTTGCCTGGCGCATAATAGGCCCTCAGCAATTATTATTGTTATTATCGTAGATTTTATGTAGCTGCTGCGTGTAACCTTAGGCAAGTCACCTAACCCCTCAGACCCTCATTGTGTCCACAGGGGCAAGTTGTCCGAAATGAAGAGTACTCAATAGGACAGCGGCCTAACAGGAAGTGGTGGCTATGATCACCCCCTTTGCCTCCCTGCTTCCCTTCCAGAAATGGCAGTCACCTCTGCCACCTTCTAACCTACCTGGGGCGTATATTATTATTATTATTATTTCTGTATTTCATTGATTCTAAGAAGCTATTGATTCTATTGATATTAAGGCACACCTTTATTTACCCACTAATAAAACATTTGTTAATTAGATGGTGACACGCCACCAATTGTAAGATGCGTCCCCACCGCAGAGATGTGAAATTATGGGAACATGAGTGTTTCAGGATGGACTAAAGGGTAACCAAAGAGGCTGGAAGTGGTAGGGGGAAAGGGGAGACAGGGAGAGATTTGCGAAAGGATGCAAAATTACAGCTAGATAGGAGGAATAAGTTCTAGTGTTCTATACCACTGTAGGATGACTGTAGTTAACAATAATATATTATGTAGTTTCAAATAGCTAGAAGGAGGATATTGAACGGTCCAAGCACAAAGGAATGTCAATGTTTGGGATGATGGATATGCTAATTACCCTGATCTGATCACTGTACATTATATGTATCAAAACATCACTATGTACTCTGTGAATAGGTACAATTAAAAATTAATTAATTCAATAAAAGATGTCGAGGCGCTCTGACCGCGCAGACAATGGGTCCCCGCGCACACAATGGGGCCCCGCCGCCTAGCTCGGCCGCATTTACCGGCAGAGGCCACGAGGGGGCGGGCGGCCCGCGGGAGGGCGGCGGTCCCCAGGCTCCCGGAGGCTCGGCCTGGCCAGGCCTCGCCTGGCCCGGCATCGCCGCCTCCCTCCCGCCCGCTTCGCCCGCAGGCGATGCTCAGGAACAAGCGGACCTCACTCCAGGAGCTCCGCAGCCACGAGCACTTCCTCACCAAGCTCAACCGGGAGCTGATCAAGACCATCCAGGACATGGAGGACAGCACGACCCTCAACGTGCGGGCGATGCTGCAGCAGCAGGACATGCTGGCGGTGAGACCCGCGCCTCTGGCCTCTGCGCAGCGGGCGTGCCCGCGGCTCTCGCCTTCCTTCCCCGCTCCTGCGCGCTCGGGCGCCCTCTCCTGCCCTTTCCTGGCCCTGTTGCATGTGCCGCTTCCTCCCGCTGGAAGATCACCTTTTCCACCCTTCGCCCCACCCACCTGGACTTCGGAATCAGACCGAGGTGGGGGTTTCATCCCAATGCGCCGGCATTTACTAGCTGGGAGTCTCTGAGTTAACGTCGTTTCTCTGAGTTCTGTAAAATGGGACACAATAGCACCCACCGCAAAGGGATGCATATTGTACCTGGGCAAGAAAAAGTAGCAGCCACCACCAGCTCCATTAGCGCACACTTGTACAGTGTAATACTAAGCGCTTTACATATATTCATATAGTCCTTACAGTGACCCTATGGGGTGAGCAGTATTGTTATCCCCATTTTACATATGAAGAGATGGAAAGGCAGAAAGGCTAGGTGACTTGCTCAAGGTCACCTAGGTGGCCAGGGTCCAAGCTGGGATTTGCACCTAGGCAGTCTGGTGCCAGGATCTGTGCTCTTTCCACCATGCTATTATTAGCATCCTCAGCCTGGGGGTGGCACTTAGGGTGAAGATCCCCGGGAACATCCTCTGCCTCCTCTAGGAGAGACGGGTGACACTGCGGTGAGAGGGCAGAAAGTTCATAGGGGACCCAGGAGTTTGGACAGGAGAAGATTCAGAGAAAATGGTTTAATGGACAAGTAAGTTCCCTCCAACTGCAGTCTGCCCAGGGAGGAGAGGGACTGAGCTCACCTAGAGTTGGTGAGTGAAGAGAAAATTCAGACTTCTGGGGACTGTGTCAGTCTGCTCGGGCTGCCATAACAAGATCCCACAGATTGAGTGGCTTAAACAACGGCAATGTATTTTCTCACAGTTCTGGAAGCTAGAAGCCCAAGATGGAGGTGCCAGCAGGGTTGGTTTCTGGTGAGGCCTTTTTCTGGCTTGCAGACTGGCCATCTTCTCGCTGTATCCTCAGAGGGACCCTCCTCTGTCTGCATGGACACAGAGAGGGCTCTGTTGTCGCTTCCTCTTCTTATGAGGACACCAGTCCTATAGGATCAGGGCCCCACCCTTATGGCCTCATTTAACTTTGATTACTTTTCTATAAGGCCCTATCTCCAAATATGGTCACATTAGGGGTTCGGTCTTCAACCTATGAATGGGGGGGCAGGTCACAATTTAGTCTGTAAGAGGGGCCAAGGCCAAGGACACACAGAGTTACGCAGCCCAAGGAAACTTAGCAGAACATTCTCCATACCTAGACAAAGTCATTGTCTGACTCTTCCTCTGTTGGTCCACGTATACATTTTTTGTTCATCCTGAGTGTCTCCTGTGGGTCCGTAGGGGAGAAGGCGATCAGTGAGACACGTCATCCACGTCAAGGTTTCATTCTGGTGGGGTCACAGGCAGGTAGAAAGCCTCGAGTGTGTGTGCTGTGCTGGAGGTGGGGGACTTGGGGGACCCAGAGGGGACCTCTGACCCAGGATAGGAGGATCAAGAAGGCTCCCTGGAGGTGGCGATGCTTGGGCTGAACCCTGCAGGGTAGGTGTTCACTGGCAGAGACTGGCTGAGTATTCCAGGGAGAGGAAACAGGTGCCCAAGCCGTGTGGTGAGAGGGAGCTTAGCTGGCTCAAGGGGCCACAGGTTGCTGAGCGTGGCCAGACAAGAAGGTATGAGGCGGGGATTGGAGAAAGAGGCGGTAGGCCCCATCCAGGTTGAGGAGGGCCTTGTCAACCAAGGAAAGGAGTTGGGACCTCATTTACAGGGCAGAGGGGAGCCATTCAAGGGTTTTAAATAGGAGAGGGACACGACCAGCTGTTTTCTTTTGAAAAAGAAAGATCTTTCTGACTGTCATGTGGAGACTAGATGAAAGGAGGCCCAGGTAGGGGTAGCCGTCATAATATTTTGGGTGAGGATGAGGAGAACTTGAATAAGATGGTGGCAGTGGGGGTGGAGAGAAGTGTGTGACTGTGGGAGCCGTTTGGGAGTAAAATCCATACAACTTGGTGACATCTCAGATGAGAGAGGGGAGCAGGGCCTGGAGCCTGGGTTTGGGCTTGTGTGACTGGGGGTGTGGCAGGGCCACTGGCTGAGCTGGGGCAGTAGGAGAGGAGGGCGGATATTGGTAGGGGGTGGGGGACGAGATAACTGTGTTCGGCATCAGGTCGGGTTGCTGGGCCTGGAAGTGGGGTGGGGACTGGGGACTCCTCTGAGGAAGTGCCAGGTGCACACAGCAGGCTGCAGCCCCCTGAGAGCCTGGGGGTGAGCTGGCCTCCCCACTTCCACAGGCCGTCGTTGACATCTTGGAGTGCTCAAACAAGAAAAGGCTGCAACAGTTGGAGTCTGAGCTTCAGGAGTGGGAAGAGAAGGAGCAATGCAAGATTAACTGTAAGAATCCCTGGGGCAATTCCTTGACCCTCATCCCTGGCACTTTGGGCAGGTCAGCAGCAGGGCATTCACCTTGCCCCTGCTTCTCAGAAACCGGCAGGCCCACCATTTCCCTTGTAGGCAGATGGAATCGCTAAGATGCTAATATCTCACTTAGCACTTCCGAGGCCCCATGTGTCTGTGTTGTTGTGGGCACACCTTCACTCAGTCGTTATGGCTACCTTTGAGGCAGGGACTGTCTTCCTGCTTTACAGATGAGTAAACTGAGGCTAAGAGAGGTGAGGTAGCTTACTGGAGGTTATACAGTTAGGAGCCAGAATCCAATCCTAGCCTGGCTCTGTTTCCTGCCAGGGTCCCTCTGGGAATCAGTGGCTGGGCTAGGACCCAGCTGTGCCGACTTCCATCTTACCTGGCCTGTAGTTTCTTTCCCCTGAGTAGTAGGATCCCCGCCATGGAGGAAGGCAGGATAGACTTTGTCTCGATCCTGCTGTGGGTCACGCCTGGGGATCCAGTGTTGCCCCATCTCCCTGGTCTCCCTTGGGAGTGTGTGTCCTAGGAGACTGAAGTCCGGAGAGGGACAGTTTTGGTGAGGGCCACACAGCAAGTCAGTGGCAGAGCTGGGACCAGTCTAGGGATCTTGTACTAGTTCTGTTTCTCTTTCCTGGCCAGCGTTGCCTCTTCTCCTGCAGAGATTCTTTAGAGGCTTAACTTTTCACCACCTCCCAGCCCTGTGTGAGCTCGCCTCAGCCCAGACCCCAGGCCATTGGCCAAGGATACCTGGCCTCCTGGGCCTCCTGGGAGGGGTCCTTGAGGAAGGTCCTGCCTCCTGCCCCTCCTGACCTCCCCCATCCCTCCCCAGGCCTGGAGCAGCAGGTGGAGCAGCTGAATGCCAAGATCAAGCAGACCCACGAGGAGGTGAACTTCCTTAGCACTTACATGGACCACGAGTATTCCGTCAAATCGGTCCAGATTGCCAGCCTCGTGCGCCAGCTGCAGCAGGTTAAAGACAGCCAGCAGGTAGGGGAGCCCTGGCCCTGCTCTGCCAGACTGTGTGGGAGGCAGAGCTGGTGGCCAACATCCTCCTGCTGGCCCCCAGGATGAGCTGGATGACCTTAGTGAGATGCGCAAAAGCGTCCTGAAGTCTTTGTCCGACAAGGTGCAGAATAAGAGAATAAAAATTCTGAGGTCTCTGGTGGTGGTGAGTAGGCAGCTGCCAGGGTGGGTATCCAGGTCCCGCACCCAGCCCTGCCCTCTTCCCTGTCCTCTGCTCCAGGCCCCCGGCACCCCCTGCCCTTGGTCTCTACCATGTACTGCTGCCCAGGGAGAGACACCCGGGGCCCAGACCTCTCCTTCCTCCACAGAAAACCCAGTCTCCCCACCAGGAGGCTCTTCTACAGAGGGCCCAGGCCAGCCAGGCCATGCTGAAAATCGTGAGCAAGTACAGAGAAGTGAGTAGGCAGGGAAGGCGACGGGCCCTCTGCGGGGAGCGGTGGTGGGTGGTCCCCAGGCCCACAGGAGTCAGGCTCATCCTGATCTGGCACTCAGGAGGTCTCTGACTCTACTGGTGGCCTTCCTCCTTGCCAGTGCCATTACTGTCACTTGTCTTTCCTCTGGGAAGGGGATTGGCACTGGCCTAGGCCTTACCTCATTAACCAATGGCGCTGGCCATGACCCACTGGCAGCTTCATCAGGCATCATCCACTTAACCGTTAACCACGGTCCATCTTCGCCCTTAATTCTTGTCATTGACCACTACTCATTATCCGCGTTAATGAACTTCACCATCACTGCCCTCTCGAATTAGTTTTCATTATCTTGCCTTTCATTATGGTGCCCTTCCCCATCTCCACCAGCCCCCACTATTTCCTGTGATCGAGCAGTCCCACCCCTTTGCAGACTGTCTCCATTCTCCACGGTCCCCTCACCCTTTTCAGCATCACTTAATATTGTCACCAACTTGTGAGCCAGCCCCGCCTCACGCAGGGAGGCCCCCACTCTGGAGTCCAGCATGTCCCAGTGGCGAAGCCCACACCATTTCCCCAGAATCCTTGATCCTCATCCATTTTTTCCCTTTTTGGTTGGGGGACATTGGGCTTCTCACTTCTCCCCTGCGGTGCCTCTCCCCTCAGTTTATTGACCAGTTTGAGGAGGAAGTGCCCATACTAAGGGCCGAGGTGGAAGAGCTTCAAGCCCAGGTCTGGGAACCGCGAGAGATTGTATTTGAGGATGTTCTGCTTCGGAGACCCAAGTATGTGATCTTTTTGCAGCTGCCTCTTAAGCTAGCCGTGCTCTAGGCTTAAAGAGGCTCTCTGTTCTCAGGGAAGGCAGCCTGGTGCAGATGGCAGAAGCTTGTACAGGCAGGGAGGGGGCTGGGGTGCCACCTCAGCTCTGCCACTGATCATGGGCAGATGTGACCTTTCCCATCTCTGGGCCTCAGTTTCTCATCTTTGCACAGCAGGCTGGGTTATGTAATCTCTAAGGGCTTTTCCAGTGCCCAGGCTCCATGTGTCAACAGAGTGGGTGCACCCCTCGGCTTCTGGGTTCTTGGGGAAGGCAGTGTGGGTGGAGTGGCGGGTTTCAGGGAAGAATGGCCTGCGAGACACACGAGGAGAGAAGGATGTCCTCTCCACTTGGCAGGCTTCTGGGCCCCAAGGGAAGAACTTCCTTCCAGAACAATTGTCTGCCTGCCTTTGCTTGGATCAGGCCCTCCATGATGGAGGTTGGTTGAGGGGTCCCCTAGGCCAGGCCTCTTCGTGATGGCGCCCCAGGAGCAGGTATGGCACAGCCTGGCATTTGCAAATTACTTAAGTTTTCATCTTTGTGTCTTTCTCCTCCTTCTGTCCTTTTTCTTCCTCTACCTTCTTGTCTTCCTTCTCTTCTTCTTCTTCTTTTTAAAAATTACTGTTGAATTTACAAAGTGCCTGTGAAGTGCCAGGCACCGTGTGAATGAAACCCCCCCTTGGCCCTGCCCCCGTGGAGCCAAGGAGGGAGCCAGACATTAACTGACAATGAGCCACAAGTCAGTGTCAAGTTGCGGCTGAGCCCAGAGCTGCTGGGGCAAGTACCTGGCACCCGGACAGCCTCTCCCAGGACAGTGGGTCTGGCGGTCAAGGAAGCTTTCCTGTGGATGTGACATGTGAAGGATGCATAGACGGTCACTAGGCAAAGGGGACTGACGGAGGAGCTGAAGGGACAGCAGTTCTAGGTGGTGGCTGGGTCTCTCAGTGATGTTGTAAGTAGGCACTCATTGTCTTTACCCGAGCTCTGAACACAGTGACGAGGACTCACAGGGCAGGGCACACGGGGGCCAGATTATCACTTTTATTCTGGTAAAGCTGATTTTAGAGAATGTGGCTCATATCTAGGCATGTTGGTTTCAGAATCATGAACCCAGAATTAGGCAAATTGAGCCAACTAGTCATGGTGGAGCTGGACCCAGCTGGAGGCAGCCATTGAAGCGGAGTGTGGTCCTTGTGGGCTGCTTGCTGCGGAGAGAGGAAGGGGCTGGGCTACCTGCACCCCCTCGTTCCCTCTGGACTCGCCATCCAGGCGGTCATACCCCTTTCCAGGAGTAGGGTGAATAAGGGGGCAGAGAGGCTGGGAGCAGTGCACTCATTGATGCCTTCCACCTGGACGGGAACACCAGGAGTGGGCATGCATGCTGCTGAGCAGCGCTTCTCCAACTAGAACATGCGTAGGAAACACCTGGGGTCTTGTTAAGAAGCAGGTTCCAAATCAGTAGGTCTGGAGTGGGGCTCAAGATTCTGCATTTCTAAGATGCTCCCGGGCGATGCTTACACTGCTGGTCTCAGTGGACCACATGCTGAGCAGTGAGGCTGAGAAGCACCTGTGGCGGGAAGGAACTTGGTGTTGACGTGGAGCTGAGTGAGGCCAGTGTGGCTGGAATGCAGAGTGACAGGGAGAGTGGCGGGGAGGAGGCGGGACAGCTGAGCCCCGAGGACCCTGTAGGCCAAAGTTTTGTACTTGATCCTGAAAGCAAAGGATTTTAAGCTGAACGGTGACAGGATCAGATTTGTATTCCAAAAACGTCATTTTGAAAAGAGCATAGGGATGAGAGTGGAGAGGAGCCGGAGCGGGAACAGGAGGTCCAGGTGGGCATGAGGGCAGTTGTCCAAGGGAGCGCTGGGAGTGGCCTTGCCAAGTGGGTGGCAGAAGAGATGGGAGAAGTAGATGGACTGGAGAAGTATTTAAGGAGGTAAAGTCTGTAGGACTTGGTGATGTTTGGATGTGGGAAGTACAGGACAGGGAGGTGTCAAGAATAACCCCGAGGTTCCTGGCTTTTATAGCAGGGTGGGCGGTGGTGCCAAATGCAGAGGTTGGCAAGACTAGGGGAGGGGTGCGTACGTAGGTGCAGTCCGAAGTCGACTCGGACGGTAGTTTGGTTTGTGTGAGACATCAACGTGGAGTCATCAGGCGGGCAGTTGAGTAGAGGAGTGTGGACCTCAGAGGACAGATATTGGCTGTAGGTAGAAATTTGGGTGTTGCCAGTGTAGAGATGAACTTTTTAACCGTCATTATGAAAAATTTCAAATATACAGAAAAGCAGAGAGAATATTATGATGAATACCCAGTTGCCCATCTAGATTTAAAAATCGTTATATTTTTGCCATTTTGGCTTCATCTTCATTCATTCATGTTTTTTTTTTCCTTTGGCTGAAGTGTCGTAAATTATAGACATCTTGACATTTCATGCCCAAATACTCCATGTGCGTCGGTAGACTGTGGAAAGCATGAGAGTGGATGATCTCCTTGGGAGAGTGAGGAGAGAGAATGTGATCCTCAGCCTGTTACATGTTTGTGCTGGTCACTGAGATGGGGACTGTGCTGCCAATGGGAATCCATCTCTCTTGCTACTTTCATGGAAGGAATAATGACTATCATTTCCTGAGCACTTATCACATGCTGGTCTCATTTAATCTTCCCACCAATGACCTGGGTTGGAATTATTATCACCATTTGACATAAGAGGAAACTGAGGCTGCCCTGGGGTCTGGCACATAGTGAGTGCTTGTCACATAGGTGCCAACTGAAGGAGTGAGGCTCAGAGAGGAGAAATGTCTCAAGGTGACACAGAGTCAGGTTCCCAAACCAGTCATTGTGACTCCAAAGAGAGCGATTGTTCTGAGGGGCGTCAGCTTTTCAGAGCTGAGTCCCTGCTGCCTCTTGTCCTCAGACTCTTTAGGGGAACATTGGTCCTGCCAAACTCATTCCTTTTCCATTTTTGATGTTTCGTATGTATGTGCATGTGCATGCGTGCGTGCATGTGTGTGTGTGTGTGTGTGTGTGTGTGTGTGTATGCCCAGTTGGGCTTCCAGATCGCAGGTTGTGTTTTGGGATTGTCCCCCCCGCACCCCCAGTAAGTACCAGTGTTCTAAAGAGCAGGGCTTCCCTGAGAGTGTGCACTGCCCACTCCAACTCTGGCACCCTCTTGGCCTCTCACACCCCTCTTTGCTGCTTCCCTCCAGGTGCACCCCAGACATGGACGTCATCCTCAACATCCCTGTGGAAGAGCTGCTACCCTTCTAGATGGCGGTGCCATGGGCCACCTCTTCCCTCCCTGCCCTCTGCCCAGACCTGGAGCCTTGAATCCTTTACTTCCAGGACCATGTCTCTCCATTTAGACGCTGATCTGCAGTCCGTTTGTCCCTCCGTTTCTCCCTCCTTCCCTCCCTCCTTTCCTTCCTTCTATTTGTTTTTCTCTCTCTTTCCCTTCTTTCTTGTTGGTGCTGCTGCTTGGGCCAGGTGGGAATTCCCAGGTAAATCTGTCATGCCTTTTACCAATTCCTTTACCAATAAAGCTGGATTTGCGTTTGCTTTTGCCAGTATCTGGGCGTCCCCAGCGAGGCCTTGCAGAAGATGTAGTAGGAATGGACTTTATCTTAAGAGAAGGGGTGGGCAACTGTGCTGACTGGATCTGGGGCTCAAAACTTGTCCCAAAGAAGTGCTGGAGTGGCCCCCCTGCACGAGTCTCCATGGCCCCTGTGGCTCTGGGCCACTCCCTCCTGGTGCAGTGGGAGCCCAGCTTCCCTCCAGTTTGTGCCCAGACCGTATATTATCACAGCAAGCAATTAGGGATTGGCTGTTTTAGGAGGGGAGCCCAGGGCCGGAGGTGAGGTTAGAGATGGGGCCTTGCTATGTTGCCCACAGCAACCTCAAACTCCTGGGCTCAAGCGATCCTTCTGCCTCAGCCTCCCGAGTAGCTGGGACTACAGGTATGCGGCACCATGCCCGGCTAATTTTTTCTATATATTTTTAGTTGTCCGATTAATTTCTTTCTATTTTTAGTAGAGACGAGGTCTCGCTCTTGCTCAGGCTGGTCTTGAACTCCTGAGCTCAAACAATCCGCCCGCCTCGGCCTCCCAGAGAGCTAGGATTACAAGCGTGAGCCACCGCGCCCGGCCCATCCTGTCCCATTTTATCCGGGATGAGGGGAGCACGGATGTGGGGACAGTCTCACAGCAGAGGAGCCTCCAACAGAAGGCTCCTGCAGTTTTATGAAGCTGGGGGTGAGGGATGGGTTGGGGAAGGGAGACTGGAAAAAGTACTGAGTCAGCGTGGAGAAAAGTGTCAAGGATTTCCCCTCGCCCCCTGACAAGAAGGTCTTGGCTGAAGGTCCCCAGCAAAGAGGCGTCTGAGTGAAGACCTGGCTAGGAATGCACGTTATGGGCAGGAGCTTGGCTGTCTGTGCACAGGTCTGGTGTGGGGAGGGCAGCCTTCTCCCCAGGCCTTGCTTGTGTTTGGGCTGAACAATCACACATAGGTTTTTAGCCAGAAGCTGGACTCTTTCTGTGAAGGGATGCATGAGTTCTAAAGAAAAATATCAAGAAACGAAGCCTGAATATAGATTCCCTCATAGTCCATGTAGCCGTCATGTCCCAGATGTGACAGAGAGTAAACCCCACACGTGTACAATGCTGTCCATAGATCTTTTCCCACTTACGCAGAGCTGCATGTGGGTGAACCCTCATGTGCAGAAATATACCTCCATGCATGTGCATGTGGATATGGGTCAGGCCTGTCTTAATTAATAAAAGAGAGAGACCCCCAGCAGCATGGCCTGTTGGGAATTCTCTGTATGAGTCAGCTATGTCCCCGATAATAATGCTGCGTAACAAATAACTGCAAAACCCAATTAACCAGGCATGGTGGCACACACCCGTAGTCCCAGCTACTCGGGAGGCTGAAGCAGGAGAATCGCTTGAGCCCAGGGGTTTGAGGTTGCTGTGAGCTAGACTGATGCCACTGCACTCCAGCCTGGGCAACAGAGCGAGACTCTGTCTTAGAAAAAAAAAAATGTCACTCATGATTATATTGGGCCCACATAGATAGTCCAGGCTTATCTCTCAGTCTTAAAGTCAGCTGAAGACTCTGGTTTCTCTTCAGATCGTATAAATCTTCCGCCTTTTAAAGTCAGCTGACTAGCAGCCTTCATTTCATCTGCAATCTCTGTTCCCCTTCGCCATGTACCACAATTTACTCATAGACTCTGGGGATTAGGATGTGGACATCTTCGGGGGAGCATTATTCTGCCTACCACACCCTCTCTGGACACTTCTCCCCTCAAATGAACCCCTCTCCGTCACACCGGGGGACTCCCAGCACTCTGGCAACCTCTGGGGGCTGCAGGGCCCAGGCCTGCTTGTGTTACGGACGTCGGGCAGAGTCCGGTACATCCTTTCTTCCTCTCTCGCTCTGCAGCAGCCCAGGTCCCCAACGTGGTAGGGACAGGAGTTCGTCCCAGATGAATCACGTCCAGACAGGCTTGTCAAACGGAGCTTGTCTTCCAGAAGTGCCACTCCCGCACACCCCCCGACGGACAGACACGAAACCGTCTGCCTTCTGCTCTGCCCACCCTCTTTGCATGCACAGTTTGCATCAAAAGAGTGCATATTAGTTAGGTAAAGGTCAGGTTGTAGAGAAGCAGCGGAGAAAGAATTCAGGGGAGGGCTGGGGTAGGGAATTAGCAGTCTCTGTCGCAGGGGGTGGTTGTGCCAGGGTACTGATGCAGTACCCGGTGGTCTTTCCTGGCACCTCTGGGTGCCTTTTATTTCATTTCATTGCCGATTTTCCTTAGCCAGAGCCTCCAGTTCTATGTGACCATTGAGCTGGGAGGTGGCTGGTGGCCGAGGGGGCGGGTTGGATCCTATATAAGTGTGTGTGGGAAGTGGGAAGGTGATGTCAGGCCCAGCTCTGGTGAGATGTAATGCACGCGCACTGGTTTGGGCAAATTGTACACGAATATTTTGAAAATCGGTGCAGGAAAGGGGCAGAGAGAGGAAAACAGAGAACAGTGGGTGGATGCAAGGGCTGAGGCTGGATTGGTAGTGGGATGAACGGTGGAGGCAACTGGGGCGGCACTCTGGGGGTGATTGGTAGTCAAGGGGTCCCTGGTAACCTGCAAAGTATGAGGAGGGGGAGGGGAGGAATTTGTAGAAATTACTGATTTTTAGTAATTGTCCATCAGGGACAGTAGGGAGGACCAATGGAAGGTTTGCTCTTTAGAATGAATGTCACCAATCTGGGTAACCTAGAGTAAGTACCTAGATCTGCCCCCGAACATTTTAAAGCCCTCTGGTCTTGTGGTATGTTATTTACAAGATAGATCTGTGTAAAGCCCCATAGCAGGGAGTCCTCAGCCTGGGTTGGTCTGCTTGTTTGTTTGCCTCTCTCTGCCTAGGGGGTGTTGCATCCTTCAGTAATTCTGGGGTTTTTTTGGCTATACAGAAGAGATGCTGAACAGAAAGGAGGTAGCTTGGGTGGGCAGGCAGGCACATGCTCAAAGGCTAAGGACAGAAGCCCAAATTTAAATATGTCATGGTTCAACCCCCCAGTGTCCCTATTTACCTAAGGCAGCAAGGTTGCAAGACAGTTGTGCCAGGACACTGCTTGTTTTAACTGAATGTATTTCTGCTGGCACATGGTGAGTGCCATTCCTCACTGCAAGCAATGTGGGACGAACCTAGATTGGTTGGGGAAAGTCTCTGTGTAATCACAGCCGCAGCTGTCCCTGAGTGTCATCTTGTGGGGAAGCACCACAGGCAGAAGATCCTGTGGGGAAAGAGGGCTTGCACAGGCGGCTCAAAACCCTGCACGGGGCAGGGGCTCTTTGGGGTAAAGTCCCAATTAGGATCCCAGCTCATGGTGATGCCATCTCATGTGGAATCTTCTGGAGGGTTGATGTCCTTTCAGGCAAAATCTTACGGAGAGATGTCATCTCAGGTGTGAGGGTGCACAGGTTCTGAATCTAAGCCTTATGGGTCTGGTAGGGCCCAGGGGACAAAGATGTGATGGGAATTGGCCTTCTCAAGGACCTTGAGCCACAGAGCCTTGTTAGATAGAGTCACAGACCTGGGCGCATTTATTCAGCGTATTAATGGCTTTCTCATTAGTCTAGGAGGTCCGTCCCTTAAGAAGCTCTTGTGTGGGGTACCTCAGGCATTGCACCCAAGCCTGCCAGGTGGTCTAGCGAGGGCGGGAGCAGCCCATATACTTGGTAGAACTGATTCTAGAAGGGGCCAGCCAGCCCAACAGAACCTGATGTCAGTGAGAGTGAAAGATGACCCACTGGCCTTGCAGTTTGGGTTGGGAGTGTCCCAGTGCCCACATGGGAGCCCCCGACAGATACCCACACCAGGAACCAAATGAGCCCCAGTAAAGCCAAGCATGGCGAAAAGGCTGTTCAACGACATTTTCATGATCTTGGCCACTGTGGCAGAATCCCTCCTTGTACCACTGTACTTGGTGCAGAGGAAGGGGGCAAGGGGCACGGGGCGTTGCCCATAGGTCAGCAGGAGTGTACATTGATGAGGTGACACCACTTTGTGGGGAGGGTCCAACATCATTTGAGGATATTTTTCACATTCGTCAGTTTTAAGTTATCCTGCCCCCTGGATCGCTATCTACACGGTATTGTCTACTGGGCAGGGTACAATTATAATTACCTCCACCTCTTGTGAAATTGCATCATTGTTATTAGCTGTGAGTTGGACCTTGTCCTCATGAAATTCAGGCAAAGCTTTCTGGCTTAGGAAAATTAGGATCCTTCAGGATTCCAAATCAGCATAGTAGAGTTAGCGGGGTGATTTGGGGGGGCGGGCGCTAGGTAGTTAAAGGACCCTGCCCTCTTATCTGTCCTCAGTCCGACTCCCAGCCTTTACTGGCGCATGGGGTGGGGGACAGCAGGAGTGAGAACAGACGTATGGGGGGACCTGGAGGACGAGGGAAAGCCAGCACTTGGGATCACCTTTAACGGCAAGAACCGGCACCTGGGGTGTCTCCAGAACACTTGATGAGGTGTAGAGCGCCCCAAGGGTGGAGAGTTTAGCATAAGGATGGGGGAAGGCACGGATCAGGCATTGTTTTTTAATTTTAGTAGGAGCTGCATGAAAAGCCTATTATGGGGCTCAGTGAATCCGGCTAATTGGGTAAACGGAAGTTCCAAGGAACCGTGTATCTTCTGTGTATTTCCTGTTCCATCCCTGCATATCTCGCGAAGTAAAGTGTGAACCTCGACCTGAGTCTCTTGC